TGAGGGGGCGGCCGGGATGGGCGGCGTGCTCTGCCCGGAGGGGGAAGCTGTTCGCTTCTGCTGCCTAGCTGCATGTAATTACTATCAATGCTATGAAATGCTATTATGAGGTGCTGCCCGGGAAGAGAGGAGAACCCGCTCAAGAAGTCTTTTTTGGGGGGGATGAGGATTAAAATACTGCATTTTGACATAGCATTTTTATTTTTCATCAATTTTGTTTTGAAGAGGTGTTCTTTACAGGCAGTGTTGTAAGACTTTATTTAAGATGTCAACCTTGCATTACAGTTTTATAACTGGATTGGCACTTTATTACTGGAAAGTGCCGTGATGTTAAAAAAATGTTATAAATATTTTGTATAGACATTTATTTTAAATAAAGAGTATATAATCCTTACTTATTATTATAGCCTATTGTATGCAATTGAGTAAATGCAAGAATGTATGGCAAGCCAGGAAGTCTCATTACCACAGTGAACAACATTTATAGTTTCATCTGAAGTATGCTCTTAAATTTTTACTAATTAATTGTTACAGTAGTAACTAATTAATTGTTACAGCGGTAAGTGTTGTTGCATCTAGGTTGCAGTTGAGGAAAGAGAATCTAAGGTTCACCTTTTTAAAAGCACATATGACCAAGATACAGTGGACCTAAGAAATGCTGAGTAGCTGCTCCTGCCAGTCATTTTTAGAAGTCAGGCATGTTTGTTTACACCTATAAAATGAAACAACCAAAACAAGTGATTAGCTTCTGGAAATAGTTTCAATGACCTTTCCAGCCTCACAAAATAAGTCAGTGGTAAAACTGGAACTCAAATTTGGGAAGACCTCTATGTGTGGATGTATTCAGATTGGTATACACACAAATTGGCAATTATGTAGTTTTTAAGAAGTAAGTTTATATAACCTAAACAAATCGCTCTTACAAAATTTCACACAGGTTCAACTATTAAATACAAGTTCTTGTTCTCTAAATTTTTATAGTACCATTCCTAAATCAAAAATAAAAACTCCCTTTCTTAGTTCAACTAGTTTTAGAAAAACAAAAATCCTTCCAACAACCTAGGAGACTTAACAGGTTTCTTACGTTGCTGTCCTGCATCTTGTGCATCCTTCCTTTTTTGTGTTTATACTCATGTTTGCATTCCCTTCTGCCAAGCTGCTGAATCAGATGGGAAGAACAAAATGCTGTGCATTAAGCCTCTAACACAACTGGTAAGCTTAGTGGAAGGAGAGTGTGAAGAGGATGAGCCAGAAAAGAAAATAATTTTATTGGGACTACCTGCCTGGCTGTGGTAGCCAAATACATATTTTAGTGGTGCCTAGTGAACAAAGCAACAGACTGAGGTTCTGGAGACCTACTTGTATCTATGTTGTTGACCCTAAGGATGGAGCACATTGGTACAAGCCAACAATTTTACAAGCAGAGAAATATGCTGTGCTTTTCTTTCTAACCAAGTGGTGTGATAACTTCTTTCTGGAGTGTTCATTGAAAGGCTGAGACAATTACTCAAATGAGCAATAGGAAAAGGGATTGGATAATTGCCAAGAATGCATACATCAATCAGTAATTAAGAGGAACGTTTACTTGCAAAAGAATGCTGGGTAGCATGTGGGATAACTGGTGATCTTCTTGTAGAGTCCCTTTAATTTCCAACAGATTCAAAGATCGCAACCAACTCTCCTGTAAAAACAAGGCGGGGAAAACAATCCTACTTGGCAACTATGAGGTAAGTTGAGAGGGTTTTTAGACTAAAATAATTTACATTACTATTTTCAAGCATGGTATATGTACTATGGAAAAAAATGATCAAAACTACTGTGAAAAAAACATACAGATAGTCTCAAAGATTGTAATTGATGGGGCTGTCCTGGATCGCTTAATTTGATCAGAATTCCCTGCTGAAAGCCTAGAAATTACTGATGGAGTAACGTATGCATAGATGAGTAGTATTACTACTGTTTAGTAGTAAGCTTATAATATTCATCTTGTATTCAGTTCATACTAATCTTGCGAGTAAAGGAGGAAGAACAGATGTGGATGATACATTTGAGGTGCAAACTATGGAATGCAGTGGCTGCTGGATCCTGCTGAGATTACAATTTATAAATGTCTAGAGAACTGGGAGTGCTACCTAAGAGACATGAATGTCGGGGCTACCTTTGTAGGACGTGCTTTTTAAGAGCTCCTGTTTAGCTCTGAAATCAGGAGGATCCAGAAACCCCTGCCTTATACTAAGGCTGCTCCCCCAGCTAGCTGATACATAGCACCTAACATTTCCAGTTTCCACTGAGCTCTAGATTTAGCAGACCAGCTGTTACTGATGTTGTTGCATTCCTAATTACTCCATTTGGCATGTTTCTTTTGCTCCACCTGTGATAATAGCCTCAGTATGATAAGAATCATAATTTCTACATTAATAACCATTATTGAGCAGATATACAAACTAGTGACAAAATGTCTGGCAAATCAGTGGTAAAGATTGTTCCTTCTGTGTACGGTGCCTGAGCAATGGAAAAAGAGCATTTAACTTCCTCCTTTCTGCCAGAGCTCTTGACGAGGCACCTTCTCTCCCTTTTGTTTCCCAGCTAAGGCAGAGCTCCTGCAATGCTGAAAATACTGAATATTGGTACAAATTTGCTTTCTAATTTCAGCTGGATGGGTTTGGTGAGGTATATAAATGTTCAATCGAAAATGCAGTATGGAGAAAATAAGAGACAATTAACAGTCTAGAGTTAAAGAATTACTGTAGATTCATTTTTGCAAAACAATGAAATTCAAAGTTAACCAATAAAAGTGAAAAGCAAACAAACATAGAAACTGAGTACCAGAATTATCTTTGTAGCTGAAAGTAATTGGCCCAAGTCCTAAAATCTTCCTTATTTATTTGCTTAAACAAAAGTCTACTTAATGTTGTAGGAGTTTTGCTCAATAGAGATAACTACATACAGGATTAATGACTTTTTTTTTTCCCTGTCACTTGTTTTAAAGGTATCTTCATTTCTGTAAGCTTCCAGGAAGAGTTATGGGAATCCGCCTACTACGCTTTACTTCTGTGGTGATCATTGTCTTACTTCTTGTGGCAGGTGCTTTAACAGCTTTGCTTCCCAATATCAAAGATGACAAAATGCCCAATTTGAGAAGGGAACCAAAAACGCAGAGTCAGTCTGCCTTGGATTCATTTACTCTTGTTATGCAGACATATAATAGAACTGACTTACTGCTAAAGCTTTTAAATCATTATCAAGCCATCCCCCACCTACATAAAGTAATTGTTGTGTGGAACAACATTGGTGAGAAGATACCAGAGGAAATGTGGAATTCCTTGGGGCCTCATCCTGTCCCTGTTGTCTTTAAAGTTCAAACTGTAAATCGCATGAGGAACAGACTCCAGAATTTCCCTGAGCTGGAAACAAAAGGTAATCAGCAGTTCATATCGCTACTACTACTATTATTTTCACACTTAAAATCTAAATGCTGAAAGAAAGATGGTTTGAGTTATAAGATGAAATAAATCCATGGACCTGTTGGGCCACTTACTAGAATGTGGGTAATACAGAAGAAACTTATGTTACGATGTCAGATGCACACCACCACCAGCAAACTAGAGGCTGTCAGTGAAGAATAAGGAAAAAGAGGGATGTCAAATGCATTTCATGGGCTTTTGCAGCTGTGTATGTTCTCCATTCCCTTCGTCAGGCAAACATAGGCAGTTCAGCCTCTCCTCTCTTTATACTGTAAACTGAAATTCATAGTGCATGTATTTGTTGGGTCTCTGCGTTAATTTGGACTTAAGCTATCCGGTAAAGACTTGATTTAATCCATACATTTTAGGACTTAAGTTCTCAAACATGTTCTGCTCTTCAAAAAAAACTTCCCTCCCTGGGAAGTTTTTCTTCTATCTCAAACTATGCATCCTTTTTTTAAGAGTATTTTCCCCAGTCTTTTGGCTATTCATCTAAATATTCTTCCTAAGCTCTTTCCAGGAGAAGCACAACAATAAGCCCTGTTTGTTTCAAGTGGAAAAAAACCCCATATGTTGCATTACAGACATCACCTTACTCATGATTAGTAAAGGTAATGCTATTTACTGCACCCTTGCAAACATGCCTTGCTACTCAAAACCCATGACTTCTGGGAAGACACTAGACACTTCAACTTCCCAAGTGTTTTATTTACTATAATAGGATTTATGTTGACTATAAATGTAAGCTTTAATGCATCTGCAGTTCTGATCTAAGAATATCTTTCCTTTTCCACTTCCTGATAATCTTTTGCCTAAAACTTAAGGGAAAGATTCTTCCTTCTGTAGTTAATCATATAGAATGTTGCCTATTGCTTGCTTATTTAGAACTTGCAAGTAATGAGGAGACGGGCAAAATTTTATGCTAAGAATCCCATAGAAATCTCATACACTAAAGAATGGTATCTAACTCTTTATTTTAGTTGTATTTTTACACAAGATTAGTAGAATTTTAAGTTGCTTTGCCAGACACTCCAAGTTTTCCAACACCTATCTGTCCAGCTGTACTGCAGATGATCAAAGGTTGCTGAGTTTTGTTATAGCCTGGCAAATAATCTAAAAGTTAGGTTCGCTTCCAATTACCACAAAGCTGCAACCTTGCTTTAGCTTTGAAATCTTAAATACGTTGTCTCCATCTACTTTCAAGGAGTTACAATTCAGCTTAGTGGTTATAGAAGTTTCACAGCTAACTTGTCAAATACTGTGCTGCATACTGTACTCATGTATTTAATCTTTTAATCTTTTGGTAAGTGAAAATTGGGGTTTTTTTTTTTTCCTCCCTTCAGCCGTTTTAATGATGGATGATGATACACTCGTCAGTGCTCATGACCTTGCTTTTGCCTTCTCTGTTTGGCAGGTAATGTTTTGCACCTTGGCAGTCAGTATTTGTGAGTTACAATTGATATGAATGCTTTTAATTACAGTAATACTGTATTATAATGTTTTACCATTGATTTTCTAGCTATAAAGTTAAATTTTAGAAGGATTTGAGCATTGAATAGTAGAAATTGCAAAAATATTCTTCAATAGTAGCTATATCTGTAATCTACAACTTTGAAATTTTTAACTCTTCTTATACATGAACACTGAAGTTGTTGACTGCTGAACTTATTTAAATTGATAGTAGGCTGCAAAACAAAAGTCTGTGGGTTTTTTCTCTCTAAGAGAAATTGTCTGTAAACTTACTTTGCCAAAAATAGGGCTGCAGATTGTGGATAGATGTTTCTTGGCACTATGTGATGTGAAATGAGGCATATTGTGTCAGTTTTGCAAAACTGTATTTAATTGCAACATTTACTCAGATCAAAGGACCATATGCCAACAATTTCATTCTTTTCTGGAAATAATCTTGTGCTCCTCATTAAAAAAAAGCATAAACCTCTCTTGTGAAAATACTTTACACACATTTCATGTTTTGATTTTTTTAATTTTTTTTTCTTTCAGCAATTTCCAGAGCATATAGTGGGATTTGTTCCTAGAAAGCACATTTCTACTCCTTCAGGTGTATACAGTTATGGCAGCTTTGAATTGCAGAACCCTGGATTTGGAAACGGAGATCATTATTCTATGGTACTTATTGGTGCAGCATTTTTTCATAGTGGATATTTAGAAGACTTTCAAAGACAGCCAGAAGCTGTTTACGCCTTAATAGATGAAACTCAAAATTGTGATGATATTGCCATGAATTTTCTGGTAGCCAAGCACACTGGAAAGCCGTCCGGAGTGTTTGTGAAGCCTGTTGATATAAGAAATTTAGAAAAAGACACTAACAGTGGCTATTCTGGAATGTGGCACCGAGCAGAGCATTTGTTACAGAGATCTTACTGTGTAAATAAACTGGTTAATATTTATGATGGCATGCCTTTAAAATATTCTAATATCATGATTTCTCAGTTTGGTTTTCCTAATTATGCCAATCACAAAAATAAAATGTAAGCCAATGAATTTAAGGGGTTAGATGTTAAAGAAGACTCAGTGAATTGTACTGAGTTGAAGGAGAGAATTAATTGCATCTTGGCCATCCTTATTTGTAGCCTCTGAATTTTTTCCATTTGGCTTTTTATGTATTTTTTTTTCCTTTCTTACTAATTCTCCAAGGTAGGTTTTGAGAAAACTTAAAGAATACATACTAATGTTTAGCTGTGATAAAATCATCCTCTTTCCATAAAACTGAAAAGCTATTACAATTAATTAGGCCAGTTCTTCAGAAACATGCAGACAAAAATGCAGTCCTACCTGTCAGTGCTTATGTTTGATTTTTTTTTTAAATATATGTATCTAGTCAAATGAGGTCTAGGCCTATTTTTGATAGTTATATGTTGAGATGCTTCCTTGCCTTTCCCCTGCTCTCCTAACCTCCTCCTACCCAGATATCAGTGAAACTATAGAAGGGCTACAGTAAACTGTTGGCCAGGCTTCTAGACTCCTGTACAAAACCCCTTTGAAGTTTGTATATAAGCTACTCTGTATTCTGGTATGTTCCTGAAGCTGCTGTGAAAGCAGGCCAGAAAGAGTACCTCACCTTAATCTCAGATAGTCCTAAAACCATGGCCTACAATGTCTACTACTGCTGAGATAGTGGAAAGTGATTCTGATGTGGCTTTTTTTCCTATTATTAATTTGCCTGGAGTTGCTGAATTGGAACACTAATTGGAAAATTAAGAAACATGAATATATGAAATATGAAACTTTTATATAAGCAGCCAGAAGAAATGGATGGGATATTACTTATGCTCTTTAGTACTTAGTTTTATTTTGATATTTCGCATGTACATTGTTACAAAAATATGCCCAAGAAAATCCTCACTTTTAAAAAATGTGTTATTTACAATTCCTAATAAGAGCAAGCTTTTACATTTATTACAGAGTGTACATTTTGTAATGTTACAGGTCTACTGTTTTTTAACTACTCTTTCAAATGAGTATTTAATTTTTGGTTCCTTTCATCTCTCTTTTTGGTGGCTATGACAACATAATTAAAATGTGCAATGAATGGGTAAAGTGTTATAAAAGAATTTTAAGGTACTGTGATGTTTGACAGGACTGGACTATTACCAGTCTCTGAATTCCCTGGCTTCATGTATAGCAAGAAACAGAGCTATTGTTAACAGCTTTTGTTAGATTAGGACTCATTAGTTCTGGAAACGTTGTGTTAACATAGACAGGACAAACCTTTTCCGTTGCACTTACAGAACTTTTTTGTGGTATGAAGGAAAGAACAAGAGACAGTGATTTTACTGGGCTGCAGTGAGGAATCAAATCTGGCATCCAAAATAGATTTAGTTTCATCTGTATCAGCTTTTAATTGATTCTTAATGAATCAGTTCAAAGGTATCTATGGACAATCAATAACAGCTAATACCTAGTACACAAATAGCATCTGCACAAATGGTGCATTTTATCATTTTTATAATAAGTTAGCTGAACAAAAAGTGGTACAAGAATGCAACAAGTTCTTTACAGCAGGGCTGATTCTGGGTGTGAGTCTTTGGGGGAACGGGGAATTCTTTTGCCTTGTTCTATCAGTGTTAAAGAATTTGGTTTCTGTTCAGTGAAGTCTTCCTAGTACTTTTGCAAGATTTAAAAGGCAAAATCTTCACATGGCAATGTAAAGTCTGCTTAATTTTGTTGTAATAGTGAAAATTAGATTTTAATTATTGTGCTGTAGTGGTAAATAGTATACAAACAGGTCTATGATCTTCCCAGAAATGCAGCTTTTCTAGTGGTAGTTTACTGCATTTCATCTAATTACTGGTCTTCTGTAATTTCTGTTCTGTGCAGTACCAACTAGAATTGTGAAGACTCACAGATGTTGTTTACCTTTTAAAATGTGAAACGAACTGTCAGCTCAGCCAAATCTTAGTATTGGCTTCTTTGTTGGGGGGGAAGGAGTTGTTTTGGGTTGGGTTTTTTGTTGTTTTTGTTTTGTTCTTCTGTATCAGTGAAAGAACTAATAGAACAAGCTTTTATTATACTAGTAAAATTAATTTGTACCATTGTCAAATAAAATACATTGAACAGATTTGCAATGTATTTTTTTTTCATATTATTGACTTAAGTTTTTCAGTGTTAGATGTCTAAAGTAAGCTAACAGTTTGCATACAGACGTGCAGCACCAAGATTTCATTTTTTTATAAAGTGTGCTTGTTGGCACATACATTCACTTAATTTAGGTAAGACCCACTCATGAGGGAAAAAAGGCATCAAAAACCACAGCCTTAAGCACTTAGGCTTAGACAGCAAAGAAAATTCAAAGATAAAACTTCAGCTCCAGCCGTAATTCACTGTGCTTAGGAACCAAATGGGTTTTGTTTATTTTTCAAAGGCTGGTAACTTTTTATCCCTTGATGGTTATAAAAGTGTCTTAAGATTCTTTAATGAAATATATTACTGAGAATTTGTATTTTTAACAAAATAATATGCATGTGATGATTTCATCTAAAAGATTATCTACATGTCGTTTGGAAATATTTTGGAATCTAAACAGATTAATCACCACCTCTGAATGTTCTGTAGAAATTAACACCAGATTTTTTTATGTGGTATCTAAAAGATAGATTTAAAAAATCCTTGAAAAAATCAGGATAGTTGTAACATGATGCAACAGGACTACAAGAAAATTGCTTCTTTACCTACAGTTTAAAAAATGCCACAAGATGTCACTGTAGCCTTGATATTTGATATCATCAAATGTTAAAAATAGTAATCGGAATAGATTGTAAGAACAAAATTGTATGAGGTGAAAAGATTCTTAAAGCTAGTATTTTACAAGTTGAAATTTGTTAGGTAATCATACAAAAAGCTATGAAACACAATACTGGAACTGAAAAAACATGGAGGTTGTTTTGTACCTATTTTTGCAGGGAAGAAGATAAAATTATTTTAATTATTTTCTGTGCTTACAAAGGCTCTAACAAATTGCCACAAATGAGAACTTGTATGCAACCAAAACAATATTTGTAATTTTGCAAAAGGTATATAAGCGGTATACAAACAGCATTTGACAGTGGGGTTTCAGTTTCTAGTCACGTTTGCCTCCTAGATTCACCAGCTTAGCTAGATGGATTTACAAAGAATAGGCTTTAACACAAACTATGTATTTAGGGATTCTAGATAAAGGACAGCTAGCCTGTTAAACTCCATCTTTGCTTCTGTTGCCCAAGATAGATTAGTTAAACCTAATGTGAGTATGCTCATACAACTCCCCTCAAGTAGAGTACAGCACAGACTTAGAAATGTGTGTTACATTGAATTGTAGTGAAAGTTTGAGTAAAAAAGGATGTTAAAAATATTCTGGAGAAAATACATTGATAACTCCTTACACAGGATATTACTTGTAAACAATAATATAAAAAAAAGATTTAATTAAGGGTTAAATACAAGTGAAAGTTATAGAACAATATAGGAAAAGATAAACACATTTTTCCATAAAAAGCAAGTATCCCTCCAACAACCTTTATTTAATTTGCTGTTACAGAAGACTATGGTCTTAGTCTTGCAAGCATCTTGCATGGAATAGTACTACTGAGAATGAGGTTTCTTACCTAAGCTCACTGGCCCAGGCCCAAAGAGAGTCATATTTAGGAACATTAGTTCCTAAGCTATTAAAAAAAAAAAAAGAGGAAAAAAGAGGAATGTAGGAACACAGGTACAAATTATTAGAACCAATACCAAAAATAAGTAAGCTACTACAAAACAATTGCATGAGAGAAGTATTTTCTGTAGTACTTCAGCATGTTTGTAAGGCTTTAAAGGTTATCCAGTGCTTACGACACCAGGTTAAAAATCGAAGAGTCAAAAGTGTCTCACACTCATGTTTAGCCTCATTTGCAGACACACTAGATTTAATTATATGAACTGGTAGTTACAGTAGGTTATTTATAGTGTTAGGAAAACATGGTGATGATAATATGGACCTCAGAGCTGCGTATTTTTTTGTATTACAATGTCTTTTTAAGGTGTTTCAAGGGTGGATTTTGTTTTGTTTTAGGGAACAATAGCATCCTTTTTCTCCTCAAGGTACCTCTCCTTTGCAACCTTTTACTTGTTTAGTTGTAAAAATGAGACAGGCTGTCTGCTCTGTTTGGGACTTAACTAGTTCTTTCTAAAGGGGAGGGTGGTAGAAGAAAGGCATTTCTAACACTTTTAATGTTTCTGTTTCTTTGGCAGTAAGTTAATTGCAGACTACAAGCTAATTCAGGTTTTGCAAATGAACCACCAGAAATTTAACCTTTTACTTTTTTAAAACATAAAGCTACAAGTAATTTTGTGTAGTTTTAAGACAGCCTTAGAAGCAGACGTGAAACTCTTAATCGCTGGATGACTTCTCAGTAAGCGCGAGAGCCCATAGCTCGAACCAGTGCGTTAAGAGTTTTATGCGACAGGGGTCATTTTCTATTCACAAGCGGCTTCCCCGAGATCTTGTTTCTCCTCGGTTCTGCCCAGCAGACGACGCTGCCCGGCAGACACAATTCCTCGTCCGAGAGAGGGAAGGCCCAGCAGGTGACAGAAACCCCCTTCGGCGGGAAAGGAGGCGCCGGCGTGTGGCCGTTGGGCGGGGGGGCTCAGCTGAGGAGAGCCCCGTTCGAGGGGTGCGCCCGGCAGCAGCCCTCTTCATCAGGCACGGCTCGCTCATTGGCTGGAAGTGCAGGAAGGCAGCTTTTGATTGGTGGGTCGGCTTGTCTATCGGGTTAAATGGTGGTGCAGACCTGGCTGGGTCGGGACCCGTACGAGTAAGTCTCAGGTAGGGGATAGAGAACTCCGCTGGCCCGGCGCTTCTATTCTCTTCCTCCCGCCCAGTCTGTGCGACTCGCTCACCTCCGCCTGCGCTGGCCCTGCACTACTGAGGTACTAGCTCCGGCTCAGGTCTGTTTCCCGCCGCCTCAGGCCCTGCGAGCTGTATCTCAAGACCTCTTTTGTCTCCGTGGGGCGTTTTGCCACGGGCCGCCCTCGGGCGGGGAGAAAGAAGAAAAAAGCG